CTACTGAGTCTGGAATCACAGCAGCATACGATTGACCAACTTGTGTTGGAGCTTGTTCCGCAGGTGCTGGCTTAGATAGCGTCAAGTCTGTAGTCGGAGAGATGGCTTCGTCTCCATAAGCATTATTTCGCTTTTTCCGGTATCCACTAGATTCTACTGAGTCTGGAATCACAGCAGCATACGATTGACCAACTTGTGTTGGAGCTTGTTCCGCAGGTGCTGGCTTAGATAGCGTCAAGTCTGTAGTCGGAGAGATGGCTTCGTCTCCATAAGCATTATTTCGCTTTTTCCGGTATCCAATAAATCTTACCACAGCTGGAATAGCATGCAGTTGAAAAGATTGTGCTGGAGACTTTTCAACAGATACTGCCATAACTAAAGTCGGAGCGGCATCTTTATCACCATATACGTTATTCTTGTGCACTGAAAAGTTTAATGCGGAAAATATTGCATAATCAATAAATCCCGATGGAAAAAATGGGGTCCCACATATTATGGCTTTTTTAATTACTTTGTATACGGGTTTTTTGGGAGATCGTATAATGTTTTATACACCATAGGGATCCTTGGTAACCTTCGGAGTCTTCGGAAACTGGCATTTTGATATGTGACAGAAATATTGGCGTTGGTTCATATGCTTTTTATCGTAACATCTAGCGACTTCAGCTTATCACTGTTTGACGATTCTGCTGTCTGTAAAGCTAAAATATGATTTGAAACCAGTTTGAATATCGTCTGCATCCAAGGCAGAAGGAAACAGACGTTTGACAAACTGGTTTGTGACACTTTTACATCGCTTATTCCTTTTGAGTGCCTTACCCATTACAAAGAAGTTTTCTCATAGTACATTGAAATGTTAGATCGAATTCATCTCTTTTCTTTTACCTCGTTCCATATTAAAAGGCATTCAGCATTAAACGCATTCATAATTAAGAAGTAAAAAGGGTGAAAACATACATGACTGAGATGGTACATTGAAAAAAAACAATATCGATAGGATAGTGCTAATAATTGAGCTCATCGCTTACTGCTGCTACTGCTGTTGCTGTTGCTGCTGCTGCTGCGGCTATGAAAGTAAGTAACAAATAGTTAAGAAAACGTTAGTGTATCTTTCAGCAAGATAGAACTGAAGTAGAAATATTCTGTCGTAGTTTCTTATATAGGGAAGAGGTAAGCATAGAGCCAATTATAACTGGTGCTTGGGTCTATCACTTTTAATTATCATCATTTTCTCTCTCCCATTCTGCTTCACCTTTGCACCTCCTTTTCTAGTCTTACCAATGCTGGAACTGGTTAATTATGGTTTAAGGTTTAATTTCTCAAGAAGGAAATACTCTCCATTCCTTGGATAACTAAGCGTGTCTATCTATTTATATGCACTTCTTAAACTCTTCCTTTAAAAGTATCAATTCGATGATTGCAGAGAAACAAACGGACAAGTGAGCAAAGACGAGATGACAGGGAAGGGCAAAATTATTTTTGGAAGTGAATCAAAATTGATTATGTATATAAAGTTAATGAAGTATTACAGAATATATAGAACACTGCAGAAGGACCTGCAGGTGAGAAGTGAAATGAAGAAATGCATATTTGTTTTGTTTAAAATAGTTGCATCCTTAGTAGTTCTGAACAACTCGTTTCTTCCTTCTCATTTTTGAATCCATTCTATAGTTACGTTAATGCTCGAAATATAACATTCACTGGAACAGCTCAAAGATGAAACTTCCATACTGTGGTTCATGAAGAAGGCGCGATTTTTTCCCTGGTTTTTATAAATTTTTCTTATAAAAAATAAATATTACTATATGGAATATCTGAATAACATTTAGGAAAGAATATTTAAAAAGTAGCTCAGCACAAAACAATTCAACGACCTATCAACTAACCGACAGTCAAATTACTATCCAAGGCAACGACAAGGAGTTTGTTAATTGATCATATCATTTGCTTTTTGTATAACTCATTCATCATTGCTTACCAATTCATCGTGTAATATACATATATATTTTATACCCTTTTTCTTGTTGTTAACTAATAATATCGTGCAAGAACAATATTACATCCCGAATAAATCTGTATCGCCGAGAAACGAGTTCAACAGAAAAACAATTTCCCAACAAAAGTGGTGGAAACAAACAGCAGTAGTGAAGCTGAAGTCATGATGTACCGAAGAGATGACGAAAATTTTTCAAATTTCTCATCAAGCCGGACTATATTGCAGTTTGATTTGAGAAGAAAAAAAAGTGGATAATACATGATCAAAATCCACCACTCCATTAGTGATATAATCAGAATAGTGTATCAGGAAAGCCAGGGTCAGTTTATAGAATGTTCTACAGAGTACACCATAAAAATCAAACGAAACTTATTTCAAATGCCAGATTTTAACATAGTATTGCGGATATATGACTTCCTATGCATTTAAAGAAGTAATATTCACAGTGTTGCAAAATGAGCGGGTAGTTTGGATGCATTTGTTGCAGCAAATCTTTATATGCGCTAAAGATTTAGCGCGTATATTTGCTTTTTAGCTGCGACATCCATTCTTCTTCAACGGTTTCCGAACATCTCCACATTCCAACTTCAAAGAGTGGACCGAAGGTAATATTCTTTTGATTTTTTAATGATCCAGGTACCATAAATCCTATTACAGGATATCTGGCTTATTCCCTCTGTTCTCATCTTTGACTTCCCTGTCAATCCTCAACGGCATGCTTCGTCAGTGTCCATTTGAACAACGAAGAACTGATCAGTTGAAAAAGCACCTGATAATTTTGCCCTCGGGAATCGAAATTATTAATGATCCATAAGAAAGTAGAAAGAAAATTGCTTACTGCATGTCATAAGGCTGTTGAAAAATAAAGAGTTTCGCCATTTGGAAATATCGACAAAAGCACTTCCTTATACTCAGTAGCTAAAGTATAACAGTTGAATTTACTGAAACAGGTAATTGGAAGAAAACTAATGACTAATGATACCTTGCATTTAGAAATGTGAATCTCTTGTGCTTAAATTTAATAAACATTGAACCGAAAAGTATATTGGCGAATTTTTCGAAAGCAAAGCTTAGACTACTTTAGAAAGTCTTCTTAGTTCTGCCTAAATAAAGTTTTTATTGTTCAAAAACTTACTTTCAAACCAAATATGTTTTTACAGTTTGCATATCACGGAAATGAGGTCCGACAAAGAATAGTCCAAGAGATAACAGGTGCGAAAGTAAATGTGAGAATCTACGAGTTGCACGAATTGATGGGAAACATAGAACTTGAAAAACAGGGAAAACTATAACTTTTTTCCCAATGAGTTCATCAAAATTTTAATTTCATATACGTGCTTCGTAAAAAGAAATGCCTACAAAACTGCTTTCCTATCCAGCATTGGAATCAGAACAACAACACTGTAAATTTTTCAAATTATTGAATAATCGAATACTACTATAACAAAAAATGCTTCTACTCTATCGGACTACATGCTGCATGGCAATCCATGAAAAGCCACATACGAACCAATACCAGTAAATTTAATTTGTCATTCTTTGATTTCGTCGCAGGAAAAATTGTCAAGTTCGTTGATGAATGTGGCGCTAACGAAGCAGGCCTACAGAAAACTCAATACCGTCGAGGACATCATAAAGTTGTCAATTGCGCTAACGTCAAACTTTACATATCAGCTATCCTGTACTAACACATTTTACAATTTTCCCAAGATAACTAAAACCACAACAGCAGTCACAGTCATAAATCAAAGAGAGTCTAGTATCAAGAGATACGTCTTGACCGTTCACATAAAATGACAAAGAAAATTACCGACAGGTAAAGCGATCCATAAAAACTAAAAGCAGTGAAACCCAGTACTGCGGGAACTGACTCCTCTGCTAATAATATAAACACACACGCATCATACATACATATACGAACACACACACACACACATACATACACACACTATCCATTTTTCATTGCATTTCCCATTCAAAGAATATGAAAAATAGTTCGGGTGCTGTTAGTAAGCAATCTTTGGGATCCTTGGCTGTCCCAGCACCCAGTTTTATAAGCAAAAAGCATCTTTCACAAAGTAATGGGTGGAAGAACACAGTCCTACAGCAGGACAAATAAACATGTCAAGGAAATAAGAAAAGTAACCTGAGAAAAATAAATGGAAAGCATAAAAATGACATCAACACATCGGTTTATATGTACTGATGTGGTTTTTATGCTTTTCTTTCCAAACTTTCCTAAACAATTCTTTCCAAATCAATGTCGAAAACAATAGGATAAATGATTACAACTCAATAAGCAATATTAGCTTCTTCGCTATTAAAGGAATCCTAAAATGGCTGATGATTGATTACAATTTCAATGAAATTTGCGAAGATTAAAGAGCAACAATGAGCAGAACTCTCCCTAAATTTGAGCCCGATAACAAAATTATTACATTGTAGTCATGGTTGTAAGCAATGATTATCCTTTCTACTGCTTTCGGCGTACATAAGTCACTGATTCCATTTGGAGATAAACATTACTTAATCCCATGTTTGGGCACTCGGAACTTTCACAGCATTTCAGATGAACTCATTATACAAACAAATTCAAAAACGACCATTAAAAAGCAAAACTGATAGTTATATAAATATGAACTCGTGAAATTTACATACTTTCGCACGGATTTTGTGTCTGAATATTGGTTTAAAAGTATTCCTACTAACTATGGAATTTATATCGGAAGTAATTAAATCTAAGCCAGGATGAAAGTACAGAAGAAAAATAAAGGGTTCAATTACAACCCAAAGAATATCAAGTTTTCAAATCCTTTCAGAATTCTGGCAAACAACTGCCAAGTTGATATTCACTGCACTTTTTTTATATTTACTTAAGAAATCGCGACAAAAATAAAAATTTTGTCACTGTCCTATTTCATTTATTCCAGGTCAAAGTTCCGAGTGCTCCTCATCCTATGCGACCAATCCATGGTATTTTGAAACAAACACTCTCAAGATTGAATTCAAATTCTCAATGGTTTCATAGTGTAAAACACTAGCATTATCGGATGCTTTATGCCATACATCTGGGAATGGCAGAGGTATGAGGTGCAAAATAGGTACATTGAGATTCAGGAATGGTACGTGATCATCTTGTACTGTACTATAGACTGTCCGAGGTTTGAATATTGGATGTAATTGGTGTAAACAACCAATTTTCGTCAGCTCCATTTCTGAAAAGAAAACAAAAGTACAGAAACGCCGAGATGTAATCCTGCACAGCAAATGATCGTATTCACAACAGAAAATCACTGTAATAATAACGAAAAACGATTGTGCAAATACCATGCGTATTTGTATCAATAAAAGTAGAATTAATCTTATAGGGAAACAATAACGTTAGAAACGCTACTTAAGAATTTCAATTAATAATGTACCCTTACATTTCGTAACATTATCGTTAAATCTAACGACAAAAATTACAAGTATCACAGCAACGAAAGTTTAAATAAAGCACAAACCAATCTTCACCATCTCCAAGTATGCATTTCTGGATAAAAAACCATGAAAGTAGTAAAAAACTGGGTTTGGTGCACCGAGTAGATCGAGTAGTATAAATAAATCCTGGAAATGGTGATACATTTTGTCATTACATTTTTAATTTGATTCTTGAGACAAGACTATTACCCTCGTAAATGTATGTCAGTGATTTCCAAACACTGACTTTCCACAAAATAGCAATTCAATCTAATTTTATACTTAAATTATTTACTGTTGATGTCTGATAGTTAAAGTAAAAATTATTTTTAATTATAAAACTTAGGTAATCAATTAATACCTACCGCCCATTATACACTAGCTTTAAACATTTTATATTAGATACAAATATATTTGTTTTATTTTTGCTTGAAAGAGTAAAAGAAATAAGTGAAGAAAAAGCAGAATTAAAAATCTCATTTTTAAACGATAAAATTTAAGAGAAAATCGGGTGGTTGGACGGAAAAACTTTATGAGTTTTAAAAGATGGGTCGAAAGAATTAAACAAATTTCAATAAAGTATCATAAATTACACCGTAAAACAATGAGAAATCCCAGAGATTTTAGAAACAGATTAAAAACAGGAGTAGAAAGGAAAGTATTTATATTGATAAAACTGATTGGATTTCAGGAATAACAATGACTGGAATTTTTTTAATCCAATTTCAAAAAATAAAATAAAATAATTTCACGAGAGATGGAGAAAATATGTACATAAGGATCTGACTTTTCATAACAAGAAAAGCAAAAATTAAATGAAGATAAAAGCAAAAAACCCACAATTCGATCAATTTCCTTCTTAACTTCGAAAGATGATTGAGAGATGTTCATGAAATATTCCTGGTTCCATTTTGAAGCTAAATGACGAGAACCATACAATGAATCTATTTCTGACCATTCATGAAACGCTTCTTCACCATCAAAAAAAATCAACTGAAGAGTTATATCCTGCAAAATAAATATTTGATACTGCTATTTGCATAATACGATTCATGGCTTTAAAAAATATTCGTATAATATTCATAAAATCATACGTTCGTGCACCAAATAGTTAACTGAAATTTCTATACTGTTAAACATTAGATTTTGTTTTTTTTAAAAAAAATCAGATTTTAAAAAAAAAAGAAAAAAAAACAACTTACTCTTCTCCTGCGATTGCGTAAATGTGGACCAAGTGTGCGCGCCATTTCGAGCAGCATCGCACAAGGCACTGCAGAATCGGTAGCACCAATGAAAATTTCTCTTTAATAATAATTATTGTTCGCGTATCCGCAGGTTATATCCGAATTATAATTAAAAATTTACTAAACTAGTAAAACATATGTGCAATCATTCAACACATAAAAATGAAAGTAGTCATAAATGGAACCAATTACGGCGGTACAAAAACGATGAAGCATCGCTTATATTTTAACTATATAAAGTATTTCCCTTCAAAAGCTGAATAAATTACCCTTTCAGGAATTTTGAATCATAATGGCATGCAAGTACAAGTCGTCTAGGGACGCTTAGATCATGTGTAGCAATTAATGTCTTGAATGATTTCATGCCGTGAGGAGTAGCTTCCTCGAATAAATCCCATTCAGTTGTAAAACCTAAAGCCGATAATGTCCTTGACAAGTGCTGAAAAATGTTGGAATCGCAAAATCGCTAAACACAAAAAGATGAAAAAATGCAACCTTTCACTAATAAATGTTAAACATATAACCAACTAATGAACCTTATAACTTTTCAACCAAGCCAATGCCCTTAAAAATGATCAGGGGACAAAGCAGAGATAATAATCTTAGCAAAAATGACAAACAATTCTAAGTGAAGTAACTTTGGCTACAAAACTGGAAAACCACCAAAAGTAATAACGTGAAACAAAAATGGAACCACTCTTATGAATCCTAATATGCTGAATATTCAGCAGGTACGGCACATGTTGCAGAAGTTTCGCATAAAACGAAAAAGCATTGCTGCAACATGCGATTAAACAAATGGCATGATGTCGAACCAAAGAGCAGATTAAGATGAAGAAGCACTGTCACTGCATGTCTTTCTCGAAAGTAATAGATCTAATATCCTATCACTTCCGCAGATGAACTGCATTGAATGTTCGGATGTTTGAAAAACAGTTGCTGAAAATCACACCCCAGCAACTTCTTCATGAGATTGTGTGCCAACAATTCGTGGGACAAGGATTGGTTCAAGAAGCTCGCGAAATTTTTGCCGATCGTTCATGCAAAACTTTTCCAGTAAACTTCTAGACCACTGAAATCCTTGTTTGTTACCAGCACCTGATAAATCGTGTGCTTGCTGAAATGAATTAAACATTTGCATAAAAACCTGGAAAAACTAATGCATTCTTACATCTGAAAAAGCATTTCTTCGAATTTACAGAAACAATCTTAATTTCATTCGAAACTTTTTTTTTTAAAGTTACATCAAAATCTTCTGCACAAAATGAAACTTCAACTTTAAATCGTGTAGTTACAATTCTCCCTTTTTTTTCACACCTAAGTCTGGGATTTTAATTATAAAAAATTAACCCGAGACTGTCGCCAATGTGCTCGGGCAATACATTGATTAAGGGTGAAATAAAGCAAGAATGCAACTTTCGGGATGTGAAATGAAATAATTATCATTGCTGTTTCCACGAATAGGCGACAAATCAAAGTGTCAAATGGCGATTTGTCGATAGAAATAGGAGAAATTAAGGAGCAATGACTGAAGCACAGATCCAAAAACTGAAGAGAGCAGAGACACTGTCTAAATTAAAGTCGATAGTGCCTATTGTTTGTTGTCGCTGTCAAGTTAGTGATATTGAATTGATACCTTAAAATTTAAAATAATTCATTAAAAAAGAAGAAATAGAACCTTTCTATAAAATAAGGACAGTTTGAAAGGAGGAACTATTTACTCGCTGACTATTTCTATTTACTAAATCTGAATGAAAATGATATTTGACAAACAGAGCAAAGTATACAAGGGAAAAAATTTTGAACATTAAAAAAGTGGGGTTAAAAAGCAAACGAAGTAGGCAACTTTGTCTAACATCTAAGTGACAGTAGGAATTAAATTATTCTTGACCACACGACAATTGACAATGTCAACAGTGCATCTAGAACATCGACGTCAATATAACAAATTAGTTGATAGTATTAAGGGAAGATGCTACAAACAATTGTAAGAAAGTTTTTGCCAATATTTTCAAGAGAATAAAAGCAAAAAAATTTGTCAAATAAAATTTGGAAAAAATGAAGCATTACCACCATAAAACTGTCACTCACAGGAAAAAAAAAATGCCTTGCAGCAAAAAATACGACCGATAAAAATAACATCAACATCCGTCCAAGATTAATTGAATTCAGTTACTGTCACCATGCGCTGCCACTCGTTGAAAGGCCGATACCACAAAAAAAAAATACTTGAGATGGACTTCAGAATATACTAGTCTATCGAATACATCACCAATGGCTAGATGCAATATGACTGATGGTAAGAATGCTAACGAGTTATGATCGGACAGTTTTAATTTGCTAACCTTTGAAACTTTCGGCATGCACCTCTTCGATGTTTGATCATATCAAACTTCTTTCGGCGTACTGTCTTAATTCCTTGGGAAAATTTTTATTTACGGTTACATGTGCCATGGTAATTACAATCATCATAAGGTAATAGAGTAAGTATATAAACTGTTCTTAACATTACTTTGGATACATTGAGAGTCCTCCAGAAGATTTCTGCTTGATCCTATTTTGCTTACACTATGACAAACCTGTCATTCTATCTCTATTTTACGAACTTTCATTTTTTATAGCTAACTGATGGATGACAACACCAAGCTGAAAATTGAGCTAAAGAAACGATACGATCTCGCTCGACTTGTCAGAGGTTTTTAAAAAAAATCAGAGTGTGACTTCAAAATTAATGTCTCGAGAGTATAATGGACAATTTTCCGCAAGAGAAACAAGGAAACAACTAACAAAAATCACTGCAGTTTAGACGGGTAGCAGCGCACACAGAAAAATAGAAGACAAAGCGCAGCGAATTAGTTTTGAATTTAACAAAACCTTAGAAGTTGACAATTGCACCGCATTTTTATCATCTCCTTGATTTTTTTTATTAATTAACAATTTAGTTCAGGTGGTCACAGCTTCCTTTGTCTTCTTGTTCCAAGTTTTATGATGCCTAAACCTAAAGTCAATAATTTAAGTGAACCTTTTATGCAATTGCTTACGGAACTCGTATTATTGCACAATACATGCTGTTTGAGACAAAAAAAGGCTGAAATAGAGAACCTATGAGTTCGTTCTTGGAAATCACTGCTCACAAACAGGTAGAATCAACTGGCCGAGTTCTAGGAATAAGTAAGATATGTAGTATGTTATGCGATTTTTTGTAAGCAAAAATCGATAAAATTATTTGTCGCTGGTGACCGTATAGTTGTGTGTTACTCATATATGGCTGTGGTAAACCGCGAATAATATGCCAACAAGCAAACAAATTTCCAAATTTTATTTAGTATACTGCGTATAGATCCAAGATATGAAGTAGGAAGAGCACATCAAAAACACATTAAAATGAGCCTTTGCATGAGAAAGGTAAAAACAAGGTATTATGGACCGAGACCGATACCATTCTAACACAGCAAAACAAACATGAACTAACAATGAAAAACATTTCTATCAACAAAAAGAAAGTTTTTAGATACTTCTATATAATTCGAATATCTACGGCAAACTCGGATATTTCCATTCCCTTGATTTCTCGTAAGTTTTAAAACTTGTTACTTTTTATTGGAGATAGATTACAAATAAGTGTAAGAAAATGAAATATATTTAACTGATGAACAAAAAATAACGATTTTGCATTCGTCAACATTACGAAAACAAAAATAATTAAACTTTCTATAAGAAAAAACAGCAACAAATCGGTTCACAACAGTGCTGAAAAAAATATTTTCAACGAAAACGTTATAAGTTACTCATGCCGACGAAAGCCAAATAATCGACCTTGATATTTCTTCACCGGTGCAACAAATGCCTCCTTTTCGGACTCCATCCGATGCATCTTCTTTTCCTTTAAACTCATTATGTCACAAGAAAACAAAAACAATTTCAAATCTAATCCCATATTGTCGAAAGAATTTCTGGTTTTTATCGAAATGTAAAAACTCCTCGAAATCGAAGTTCAAATTAAATTTTGAGAGAAAAAGGTGATCCTGGGACTAGAAACGGGTAGCTAAATAATCGCTAAATAATAATATCATATTCAAAAACGCTGACCAGTTCAGCAACTCTCGTTGCTCTCTCTCTGAATTCTTTGAGCGGATCGTCAAACTGACTATAATATTGAAGCGTGGGTCTCACATCGTCAACATCTGATAAGTGTATTGCTGAAAAAAAAAAAAGCCAAATGAAGCAAGAAACTATCCTTGATCCCATAGAAGAGTTTCATTTGTGAGATGAACTAATGAGGAATTATAGCAATTTACTTTTGAGCAGTTCAGCAAGATCAACAAGTGCAGTATCATCGAGAGTGCCATCCCACTTTGGTAACCGTAACACATTTTCCGGGTTACATCGAAATGACTCCGGGTCAAAATCAATATAGATGACTTTTGACAGGTCTCTGTTCAACTTAGAAAGATCCTAAAATATTTAAATAACTTGGTTAAAATCAAAAGTAGAAACAAAACATACAAAAAATACAAAGAATGCTAATCGAACGCAAATGTGTGGCTAGACAGACCTTAACGTAAACGCCGTTCATGTACTTACAGCAATCACGATACAGCTTGTACATGATTTTCTGCTTGCTGTCCAAAGCTTCAACTATTGGATTTGCGTTTAGTGCAGTTTCTGACGTATAAATTACAACTTCAAAGTTAGGATATCCAATAACATCCAACAGATAATCTACCGCGGGACGCTTCTTGACGCGATTTCCCATTTTGTACTGAAAATTATCCCCACAGTTTAAAAGAATTACAGGAAATTTATAAGAGAACTGGCTCATATCTAATGATGCAATTATTACTCAGTTGTTTACTTTCAAAATACTTTTTTAGTTAGCATAAATTAATTTCCAAGACTAACACTCCATTCTGGTGCCACCAAAACGTTCTTTAGTTCAATAACAACAGTATACTTGGGTTGCCAATATGGTGGTTTTAACGGATCCGGAAGAAGTTTGTCCCTGGATGGCTCTACCACAAACTGCAAACAAATTGTATTAAGGAAAATAGTATGCAACACTGCATGCAATAACATATTGATGTTATTTTTGATTAGTAAGAAAGGAAGAGCGGGAGTGAATAACAAATAACAGTTGAATGAATACATGGCTGTCTTACACTGATCAAAGACGGACATATGTCAATATAAGAATGAAAATTAGACTTGAAAAAAGAAACAAAACTTACGTTTCTCCATGACCTACACGCCCCTTTGATACGATAATAGGGGGCTAATATACCCGTATATGCATTGTCCTCATCTCTTTTCATCCATCCTTTAATTAATTTTTCAGGTTCTACATAAATTAACACTACAACTTAAATGCACTATTTTAATTTTCCTTTTTGTTTGTTATATGACCTGCACTGAATTTATTTATGTTGCATTTTCATATTATTCTATTAAATGAATGTATCGAGACACTGATTTTACTTAATAAAATGCCAATTACTGGTAATCACCAAACGCTTTGAGTAAAATTGTCCGCTGTCAAAAGAAGCCTTTACAACTATGGTAAATCATTACCATAATACACACAAAAGTACAGAAGTCCGCAAAATGTGCTGCCAGCAACAAAAAACATAGCAAGTACTGTACTCCTCTTCCTCTTCTGAGCATTCTGATCTTCCTTTTGAGCAGTCCTGTCGATCTGAAGCAACATATATCATCAGTGATTTAGTGCGATGGTCAGACATGTCAAAAAGAAACAAAAAAAGATAAATGAAAATGAAAAGGACTAAACTAAAAAAAGATAAGATTTACCCGTAACCCACATCTGTTCATTAGTGCTTCCCACTTGGCAACAATCATATTCGGTTTCACATTCATTTCCGGAAAAGCTGACACTCTAGTGCTGGTATACACATCCTGTAATGGACAAAAATATCTCTTAGTTCCATTCAAGAGTAATACAGAGTATCTGAATGAAAATCCAGCACTACAATTAAAATTGTCTATGACTTACTTCGTTTGTCTTACATGCTTTCTTTTCGCCGCCTTTTTCGACAAATTCTCCATTATTTCCGCCAATGCCTTTCACATCGTGCAGCATGCGAAGACCTGCCTTACTAACCTTAAAATGTTTGAAACACTTTAGACATATAGAAAAGAAAACATTAGCTTGATGCATAAATGCACTCGAAAAATAACCAACCGGTGGATATGCAAGCGACCACGCTACGATAGTGGAAGCATTCCCAGATAATGATTTTGTAGTAAGAAGGATTCGGCGGAAAGCCCAAAAAGTTTGATGGCTTGCTATCCTGCTTATACATCGATAAGACGTATGAACGATACTAACTGGAGAGATAAACATCAATTGGCTGGTTTCTTCATCGAATCAAATCACCACTGCCAATCTTGTCACTACAAAATGTACTTCACGACAACTACTTAGCCTATAAGCTGCCCGTCGCAATTCAAGCATAGACCCGTTGGGTATTGTTGTAAGTGGACAGGTGGAGTGGTTTACATTGTCTCACATATAACGAGGTTGAGGAATTGCGCATACGATCACTTCCACTTTGTCTCCACAAGACCACGATAATCACATATGACAATCAAGGCAAGCCGTTTCATTAATACACTCATGGATGCACGCCTATTTCAGGTCTGCTCATCTGCTGCCTATAACGCCAAGATGATATCCAGGCTAATTATCGCGCCCTCCATAGAACTACGGATGTTATCTTCCCCATCAGTGCTCGGCAACGGATCTAGAACGTTTCTGTTTCGTTCTCGTCTTCCACAAGTAGACGTACAGAGTCCTTACGCTGATCCTACACGTATAAGAGTGAGTTATTGTTGGTAGGTGAAGAATTAGATTAGTATGAAATTCAAACAAACGCACAAGAACTTTTTCTGTGGTTATAAATGAAATGGGGAATTGTTTTTCTTGAAATGATAAACTGTAGACTTACCTTAAGTTATTTTGTACTCCTTGACATGTCTTCATCTGCGAATGCAGTAGAATTTTTAAAAAGGATTTGAAGAGTTATTCGCTAGCGGTTGTTTCATGCCCCCTACATTAGTGAATCTCAGAACTTTCCTAGTTAACATACGGGTTAATTTAGTTTCAGAAGTCAGTTTTTTTCAAAAATGACTTTTACTGCTGCTAACGATTTGCTTGAAGTGGCAGAAAATGATGGAACTAATTTTGCATTGTGTTTGATTATTCGTGCCTTCTGTTGGATGGGATAGAAATGGGAAGAATTTGTACTCTAGCACTTTTCATCAGTTTTAAAGGACCGATGAGTTTCTGAAAGACATCCACACGTTAATTTGTAAATTTTGTAGGTTGAAGCTCCGGATGACGTTTTTATTACAGTGAAAAGTCCCGAAGAGAATATCGCTTTGGATTTACCAAATCCATTAGTTGGATTATTCACCAAATTGTCCACATTTACCAAGAAGCTCTCTTGTTTTGGTGTTAATCAGAAAGTAATTTCGAGCCATTATTTTGTTTAATAATTTTAAAAGCAGTTGGAACTTAGTATTCAACAATATGTCACATCGCTGCTTTATGTTTTCCACCAACAAATTGGTCCTCAGAAGAAAGATATAGATTACTGATTACAGAATATAGATTCTGTAAGCTGATAAGTAGATATTTCTGCGGTGCCTATGTCTTTGAATGAGAACTCGTTGTGACAGCATCCTAAGTCATTAGTCTTTCAGGAAAAGCGCTGATTAAGATCTTTTTATCAATACTGTAAAAGCAAACGTTTTCGAACCGGTAGAATAACACAGCAGGTTGCGGTCGGAGCTTCGAACTTTGAAGATGATAGATGCACATATTGGTTGATTTTAAGTGTTTAAGTTTTGATGTAAAAGAACTTGTTTTAGAAATCCGCTTTGATATATTTCAGTATATTCAGTTTCAATTTCAGTAGTGGTTGATATATTCAGTAGACTTTGATATATTTCAGTAGCATCATTCAGTAGACCAAATTCTCAGAGAAATGCGTCATGCCGAATGAGCAGTTTCCATTACTTTTTGCTTTTTCAAAAGTTTAATCTCTAATGTAGCAAGCGATATTTTAACATAGTCCGATAATCATCAGGTTTTCCATTTGTCTGCTGTTCTGAAACATGAATAATATGTCGTAATATCTTTTTTTTATTGGTCAATTTCTTTTTGGTGATGATGGATTTGTGTTACAAGTAGCAAACTAATTTGATGCAGATTAGAACTGAAGAATAAATTCTAGCTAAGTTCATATGATCTCATAACTGCGCTGCAATTGTTCCTATTTTGTATTATGGAGTGAAGGATTTTAAATTGTCAACTGTGGCAAAAGATTCATTCCTGTACTCAGCATGCAGCTGGTCTCCAAAGAATGAAATGCTTCAATTGAATTTTTTTAGTATATACAATAACTCTCCGATTCAGACGAATTATGCAAAATGTTTTACCAGGAATTTAAGAAATTCTAATATAGAAAGTGAAATGATTATTGTTAGGATTGGCGCGACGCAGGTAGACTGCATAACAACCAGGACAGAATAGCAACTTGTGCAAGTTTTATGATTTACAGACTAATGGTATGTACCCATCAGTAGTTTTGGGAAGGTCAAGTAATGAGTTAACTATACTAACAGACCGAGAAAGACGTAATGGCGCAACTTGAATAACAGGTATTTGTAATTCAATTGATAAATTTGTAATTCAATTAATAGATTTCAATTGAGTAAAGTTTTCAGTTCGAAGACTGAAAACTGAAGAATGGCGGAAGTTAATGTTAACGACTTGATCTTGCGACTGTTAAGCGTTGGACAACCGGATAAAGGTCTCACAAAAACTGTTCGCGAACCTGAAATCGCATCGCTTTGTCGTGAGTCCTCTTTTAGGTAACTCCTTAGGTCCATATGATTTCTTCATGTCAAGGAAGTTGCTGGGATTGAAGGAAGAGCAAGTTTGTGAATTAAGGTCGTGGGTTTGGTGTAACTTAGCAGAAATTATGGTTGAAAATTGAATAGACAAATTAGGACACTATGTGCAACAATGGAAAGAGCGGGTTTCAATATAGATCAACTAAGGGGCCCAAACTTTAGATTCTGATCAAGAAACCAGTCTCGTTGCATATCACTCAGATTTTGGAGGGAAAAGAAGAGAGAGAGAGAGAGAATTCTATTGTTTTCATTAATAGTTTATTGTCAACAGTGTCGAACCGAAATAAAATGTTCATTTCTTGGCCAAGGGATCAGTTCCTCCACATTATCAGTACCATTACAGATATGTCAGTCGCCAGGTTAGAATTTTCTCGAATTTAGTTGACCTCACAAAATGCCTTTAAATTTAGATAAAGCTCGCGAAATTTTCATGGCACAGCCATCGTTGATAGAAATCGATCCACCTGTTCGTATCTGTGGTGATACGCACGGTCAGTATGGCGACGTATTGCGAATTTTTGGTCGTGGCGGTTTTCCTCCTCTTGCCAATTACTTATTCCTGGGTGATTACGTAGACCGAGGACATCAGAATCTCGAAACTATCATATTACTATTTTGTTACAAGGTCTGCGTTATTATTTATAACCGGAATTATTTTGGTTTTGCAAAAATTCATTCATGAAGCGGCGGAATCCGCAACAAGTCATATGAAAAGCAGACAAATATTCAATGAAAGCAGCCAGCAGATGCACGAAGTAAACTAGTACTGCTTAAATAATTGTTAACGGATTTATTTACAATATTTGGATCCCCTATCAAAATAAATGTTGAATGAGCTACCATTCTTGTTCTTTAGGTGTTGTTCATACATTGCAGTAATGATGAAAGTTGATAAAATTTTATACAGGTGAAGTTTCCAAATAACTTCTTTTTACTCCGTGGAAATCATGAGTGTGCCAATGTTAATCGAGTATATGGCTTTTATGAAGAATGTATGCGCCGTTTCAATTCAGCCCAATTATGGCAAACATTCCAGGTTCAGCAAACTTAATTTACCTGAGTTTTTCGATTTTTTCCTTTCACTTTATTTTTCAATTGTATTGAAATGAAGTTTTTCAGATTTGAAAAGCTGTTATACGAAAAAAAAAGAAAAAAATCAAAAAATTAATCTCTATTTATAATGCTCAGATTAATCTGCATTTAAAATGCTCCCAGCTAGTGTACGTCAACGTCAAGGCGTAAATATATTTTAAGTTAAAATTATGAGACCAATGATATGTCTAGCAATTTTAGTTTTCAAAACAGCTTAGTTTGCAGGATACGTTTCAGTGCATGCCATTAACAGCACTGGTTGGTGAACGTATATTGTGCATGCATGGTGGTATATCTCCGCAGTTGAAAAGTCTTCAACAGTTGCGAGAAATTAAGCGACCAATCGATGTCGTAAGTCCATCCCTGGAAATGGATTTACTGTGGGCAGATCCGGTAATAGGTATTAGTGGATTTCAAATGAATATGCGAGGCGCTTCTTTTGGATTTGGAACTGATATTTTGGCTTCACTGTGTAAAGAATTAAATATTGATATGGTAAGAGAAACTCTGCTTGGAACATTCTTCAGCAAATTCAGTAATAAATGGTGAAATAGCAAATAAAATAACTTTGAGCACTGCATTAATATAGTTTATTTTCCTCATTCTCTTAAATAAATCCATGAGGTTTTTTACAGGTAGCTCGTGCTCATCAGGTTGTGCAAGATGGATATGAATTTTTTGGAGCCCGTAAATGTGTCACAATATTTTCGGCACCTCATTACTGTGGACAGTTCGACAATGCAGCAGCAATAATGTCTGTGGATCAAAACCTTTTATGCTCATTTCAGATTTTAAGGCCAACCGTAGGTCGAGCTGCTACAAGAATTATACCGACTTCCATGGGGAAATGTTGATTATCTTGCTGTCATTATGTACCAATAAAGAGTAAAAAAAGCACAGTGTCATTTATTACTACTTCCTTCAAAAAATAAAAAATAAATAAAAGTTCCTTGCAGTTATCAATTTGAACTGCAGTTAGTATCACTTGAAATGAAATAATTCAAAAATAGTACGGTCAGCTTATCTAGTACCAAATCCAATTAGGTTAAAGATTCCGGCCTGTTTCCAATAAGGTAATTTCAATCATATTATTCTTTGAATTATTAATTTACATGAAGAGAAGCGATTCGTACGGTAGTATATTTCTGCCCTTTGCAGCTCCAATTTGCATGAAAGCAAATTTTCCGTTACTAATATTGCAGTTCCCGGATAGATGTAAGCGTGGTTGAAGTGATACTGATATCATTTATTATTTGAGTGACACCTCTGTGGCAGTACGTGTCGAAGGCCTCATTTGCAGATGTATTTAAACTTCATTAAAACAATGATGCTTGTGCTAGTAATTATCTCTGAGGTGTTCTTTTGTAATGTTATTCGTTGTTTGAGAAATATTTTGATTGAGAAATCACGTCCATGACTATAATTAGTTGAACTTCATCATTTCTTCCGATCTGATAACTTCGTCTGTGGAATGGATGGAAATATTAATTCTATCAACTATTCGATGTTATACGCTTCTTAACTCAGTGCTGTCCATATATTCGAAGTTTTAATAAAAAACACAACATACTATTTGGATATTGATATCTAACAAAGATTTCACTGCTTTCAGGAAAGGTTATGGAAAAATACGGAATCATTTGTCGGAAGCTGTATAGGTGAAAATGACCTTTCCACATTCATCGATAAGTTTGGAGGAGCAGCAGAAATTGTTAAAAACCATGAGCTACCAGTACTGATAAAACGTTCCAAAAGACAACTTGCTGAAGCAGAAATGAAGTGAGCCACGACATTAACGTGCAGTTAGTACTATTAAGTCGAATCTTCCTTAAAGGATATAATTTGGCATACTTCAGATCACATGCTACAATTTTGATAACATCAGCAGTGGTAGCAGCATTTGTAACATTCGTTTGTCTGATTGTTATGCTGCATATCTTCATTTACATGAGATGGGGCATCACTCGTCAGCTCATTCTTCTCAATGCTAAGGTTTATTTTTGTTCTACATTTGCAAGCATAGCTTGCCTCATCTGACGCTCGTGGTGATACACGATAGGATTTAGAATACGATAGTGGGATGTCAGTAGGTAGGACTATATCAATGCTACTCTACGAATATTTGTGGATATTAAAGGTTTGTGCACTCGAGTCACGTCTTGGAACACGCCAACTATCAGAAAAATTGCAAAGAAAACTATGCGAAGAAATTGGTGTCGCATTTGGAACAATTCAAAATGAGCGACAGAAATTTGCTCAGGAAGTCGTCAATGGTATTTTCAAGTTATCGCAAATACACTCTTTTGCTGCGCTTTTTTACTTTCACAGATGTGCCTTCATTTTCTTGTGGTCTTATGATTCCTTATGTAGTTATAAAAAGTAGCCTCATTCGGATGAATGCACTAATCTAACCAACTGATTTTTCTAATTTTTAAATTTAAACTCCATTTTAATGTTCCCGAAAACAGTTAGTACTAAATTCCAATAAAATATCATTCCTCAGCACACTATTTCATGAATCTTTCCGTTTGCTCATGAATAAATAAAGCGTTGTAAGCTTTCAATATTACCGATTTTATTTGGCAAAACCTTTTGCTTTTGCTACATTTTTGACATTAATTTATTGCTGAAGCAGTTACAGCAATAAATTAATGTCAAAAATGTAACATATTAATTCTTAAATAAATGAAATAACTAAAGTGTGGAAGCTTGCATTTGAATCCATTAAGTTTATAAATCTTTGCAGAAGAAAGAAAAATGGTTGAAGAGGTGGTAAAATCAGAAAACGAACCTCAGTATGAAACAATGTGTGGAATAGGCGATGAAGTGTTTACTACCAAAAAAGAAGGCGGTTATGTGTTATATTTTTTAGAATATTAAATTTTTGTCAAGCCAAAAAACAACAGAAGAATAAATATATAATGCATGTAATAATGAGAACATTGTGATGATATTTTTTACAGAAAAGAGTGTCCCTAAACCGGCTCGAGGTCTGCCTTCTGAAAAACCCGTCGAAGGTAATTGATTTTTCGGATGCTTCTTTTAAACATACTCTTTCGAACTAAATTTGGAGTTTGAATCAAATTTTCAATTCGATTTCCCAAATTCTACAAATTTTGCAGATGACCATTATGAGAATGTATCGAAACGTAAGCTTTTTTTTTATTCCATTCAATAAATAAACTTTTACGCATATCTTTCTCTTCCACCACAGTTCTCATCTTCCATGCTCTCCATCTCTTCCACCACAGTTCTCATCTTCCAGTTTTAAAATTAGCAGATGGACATGCCAAGGTACACACTTTTACTTTATAACTTTTTCAATAGTTATTACAAAAATAACGTTATCACCGAAACCGTCCCGGACCTATTTGTAAAAATTAAAAAGAAATTTAGAAACGCAGAAATATCAAGTTTTTTCTATTCAGTTTTTCTTGGTAAGTATTTTTGAGCACCAGGATAGTTGTTCAGCTCGCAAAAATCAATCAAAAAATTGCTGACAATGTAATTTTAATTTTAAAATCAGAACAGGAAGAAAAACAAGATCACGACGAGCTCAGTGACAATATTATTCTGAAAACTACGTAACACTAATTTCCTGACAACGCATATTTGAAGTGAAAGTACCAACAAGCTGACTGAAATTGTTCCTACAGGGTTCAAAAAAAATTAAACTTTTACGAATCGCTAGCGAAAAACCTTGCAAATAATTTTAAGGCTCTAAATAACGCACTGTCAATTTTTCAGCAGATAAAAAAGCACCAGAAAAAACTTCAAAAAGTGAGCTCTCTCTTTATTCCGTCACCAATTTGCTTGAAATTGAGATTTATTTTTAACTAAAAAAGTGGAGAAGGAAAGAAATATTAACATAGTTTTACTGCTAGCTATACAATAAGAATTTAAAGCAATTACAGGTCCAACGACTGCACCAATACAGCAAATTGAGATTAAAGGTAGTTCATTAATAATGCTGTAGCTATTTCCCGTATTTGTTAAAAAAAATGAAATTCGTTGAAAGTAATATTTTAGCATTTTTACTGCGTTCAAGGGACATTGAGATCGGTCATAAACGAAATGACACGGAAGCATTTCAATGAAATACATGAAGGGGCAGTTCTAAATTAATGTGTTTAGTTTAATCTCATATATGGTTTATTGAAATCATGGGATTGCAGCACCAGCAGTTGGCGGTATGGCAGACGAAGCAGATCCAAAGTATCAAACACTTATTGGCATGGACAACGAAAAAATTTTTGCTGAGAAAAAAGGTAATTTAATTAAAGCAATTCAGATTAATCGGGACAGATCATATTCAAAACCTCGTAGCTTTAGTATATCATTACTGATACAAATCTAATTCAGATTTCTGGACAACTGCAACTATAATAATCAATTTGTAATCATGATTGTGTCATTTGCCCTATTCGCATAGTTCGTCTCTGATAAGCTCAACTTCTTAGAAGAAATCATTTGAATTTGAAAGATTGATCATTATAGAAATTCCAGTGATAATCTGCGATTTCTTGTCTGACCTAATTGTTATTTGCAGAAGACAGGTTGGAGGACACACAAGAAATTAAACGTAATTTTTAAATTTCATCTTATATATTACTTCGAAAATAATCATTTGGAAATGTAGAATGGTGCAATGATATGAACATGTTGAAACAAAGATTTCACCTTCTTCGTTCTTGAACTCGTTACTCCACGCAATTCAACCAAACGTGGTTCAGTTGCCATTTCATTCCACAGATGTTTGGCATTTTAGCTATAAGCTCGGCTAACTTTTTCTAGCCTATACAATCAAAAAAAAAAGATTTGAGAAACAAAAGCATATAATTCTCTTGGATTCATCCCAAGAACAAAACATGTTTGCTATAATTTGCATTTAATATAATTGTAGCACCAGCAGTAGGCGGTATAGTGGATCAAGCAGATCCAGCTTATCAAACACTTACTGGTATGGAAAATGCAAAAGTTTTTCAAGAAAAAGGTAATTTAATTCGCTTTTTTCATGAAACAATCAATCATTGACAAAATTTTCTGCAAATAAGACGTGGAAAAACTGTCTGAGCTCTAAAGAAGTCTTTTTTCAGTCTTCCGTATCCCAAATGATACCTACTTCACTTTAATTTAATACATATTTATTATTAACATAAATACTTGTGTTTTTTTGAAACTTTTCTTCATTTTCTAATTTTAGTAAATAACTGTAACGAAAACAACGTTTTTTTTCAGTTCAAAAAGGAACAAAAGAAGACAACTGATATTTGGATTAGTAATCCGCCTTAAATGATAAACACTTAATTTTTTATCTTGTTTAAAATTCTGTGGCATCAAAAAAAGTCGAAAAAAGCATCACTAAAAATAACCTGTTTTAGAATTTCGTCCTCTCCATGATACATATTTTGATCGAACCATTCTTTTTTGGTCTTTATGTAATAACGATATGTATAACAAATATTCAATTCGAAATGAATAAACTGTAATGAAATCAACTTTTTGTTAATATGTTATCGAGCGAACAAACAGTTATGCATTTGCATATTGTCGACTGTATATGTATATATATGTATATATATA